TCCTCATAGGCCTCCTGCAGGTGTTTTTCAAGCCTCATGAGCAGGTTCCTGGGCAGGGAGAGCTTATTAGGCCCCCCGTGGTATGAGACGTTTCCCTGCCACAACGCCAGCAGGTACTCGGGGATCATGGCCTTGCAGAGCATTGCAGCAAATGGCCCCGGTTTCTGCAGGCTGTCCCGAAGCATCCGCTCCTTCTGGCTCTCCGAGACCTTCAGGAGGGTGATGTCTGGCATGACTCCCTGCTGTGAATTAGGTAGGGGAAAGTTAGTATTGGGACTGCTTGCCCGTCCCTTTACAGAACTGCAACCGCCGGTTTACAGCCACGCGGTTTACAGCCGCGAGGGGCTGGGACAGGGGCAGAGTTCATGCTTGCAGGATTGCTGCCAGCAGAGACTCGCATTGCTTTCTATGTGAAAGGAGGCCAGTGCCACTCTTAAAGTTTGAAGCAGCCCCAAGTCTACGGCTTACCATGTTTGCCAGCTACACAAAGTCCGGTGTCCTGCCCCGCTCCTCAGCTCGCCACAGCAAGACCGCAGGCACTGTACGCGAGGGCCGAAAATTCGACCTTGTCCTCAGTGCGCGTGTGATAGGTGCTCTGCATGGTCTTGTTCACAGAGAAAGACTATGTTCTCTGTTCACAGATACATTGATCTGTCTCAGGAATTCACTCCCTTTTTCCAATTCCCACAGCCACATCTGCCCAGAGGCTAGCGCACATTAGGAGGAGGAAGAAGAGGACACGGGAAGACATGTTTGCTGAACTAATGGGATGCTCCCGAGCACAGGCAGCCCAGCAGACACAGTGGAGGGAGAACTTGTCCCAAATGCACCGGGCAAACATGGAACGGGAGGAGAGGTGGCGACAGGAGGACTGGCAGGCTACTCAAACGCTGCTTGGACTAATGAGGGAGCAAACGGACACGCTCCGCCGCCTTGTGGATGTTCTGCAGGACCGGAGGCAGGAGGAGAGAGCCCCGCTGCAGTCTCTCTCTAACTGCCCTGCCCCGCCACCAAGTCCCATACCCCCCTCACCCAAAGTCCAAACACGGAGGGGCGGCAGGGTCCGTGAAAAATTTCACTCCACCCCTGCGGACTGCTCTACCACTAGAAGGCTCTCATTCCCCAAAATTTGAAAAGTCCTTTCCTACCCGCCTCACACAAGACCCCGTCCAAGTTTCACCCCCCCGTTCCATGTGCGGTTGTTAATAAAAAATACGTTTCTGTTCATTACTGTTTCCATCCTCTTCTTTTGGAGGAGAGTCTGTCTGAAGGGGGGGGAAGGGGCTTGGTAATTGGACAGGACAGTCACCTTTAGCAGGGGGCAGGTCCAGAAGCAGGGCACATATACAGTGCAGTGACTAGTTACCCTGGTCAGTCTGGGAGGTGGTTTTCATGTCCTGGTGGGGAGGGGGGGTTGCTCTGTGACTGTGGCGGGGGAGGGCAGTTACAGATCTTATGCCACAGTCTGCGTCCCAGGTTTAAAACATTCCCGCGAAAACAGTAATAAAGACAACGGTGTCCATTAACAAAACAGAACAGATTTTATTTTTTGGGAAGGGGGTGAAGGGGGTATGTAACTGGAGAGGATAGTCGACGGCAACCGGGTAAAGAAACGGGGGCAAGTTCAGCTTCTGTGTCCACAAACTTAAAAGTCACTGGGTACCCTGCTCAGTCTTGAAACTGGCTTTCAAAGCCTCCCGGATGCACAGCGCGTCCCGCTGGGCTCTTCTAATCGCCCGGCTGTCTGGCTGGGCGTAATCAGCAGCCAGGCTATTTGCCTCAACCTCCCACCCCGCCATAAAGGTCTCCCCCTTGCTCTCACAGAGATTGTGGAGCACACAGCAAGCTGCAATAACGATGGGGATATTGGTTTCGCTGAGATCACAGCGAGTCAGTAAGCTTCTCCATCTCCCCTTGAGACGGCCAAAAGCACACTCCACCACCATTCTGCACTTGCTCAGCCGGTAGTTGAAGAGTTCTTGTGCAGTGTCCAGGGCGCCAGTATAGGGCTTCATGAGCCAGGGCATTAGCGGGTATGCTGGGTCCCCGAGGATCACTGTAGGCATCTCCACATCCCCAACAGTTATCTTGTGGTCCGGGAAGTAAATGCCTTCCTGCAGCCGTCTAAACAGACCAGAGTTCCTGAACACGCGAGCGTCATGAACCTTGCCCGGCCATCCGACGTTGATGTTTGTAAAACGTCCCCGATGGTCCACCAGTGCTTGCAGCACCATTGAAAAGTAGCCCTTTCTGTTAATGTACTGGCTGGCCTGGTGGCCCGGTCCCAGGATAGGGATGTGAGTCCCATCTATAGCCCCACCGCAGTTTGGGAATCCTATCGCTGCGAAGCCATCTATGATGGCCTGCGCGTTTCCCAGGGTCACTACCTTTGACAGCAGTACCTTGACGATTGCCTTGGCTACTTGCAGGACAACAACCCCCACGGTAGATTTGCCCACGCCAAAGTGGTTCGCGACTGACCGGTAGCTGTCCGGCGTTGCAAGCTTCCAGAGGGCTATGGCCACTCGCTTCTGGACAGTCAGGGCTGCTCGCATGCGGGTGTCCTTGCGCTTCAGGGCAGGGGACAGCAACTCACAAAGTTTGAGGAAAGTCCCCTTCCGCATGCGAAAGTTTCGCAGCCACTGGGATTCATCCCAGACCTGAAGCACTATGCGGTCCCACCAGTCCGTGCTTGTTTCCCGGGCCCAGAATCGCCGTTCAACAAAATCCACATGCCCCATTGCCACCGTGATGTCCTGGGCGCTGGGGCTCGTGGTTTCTGACAGCTCTGTGCTACTCTCCGACTTCAGGCCCTCACGGCGGTGCCGTAGCCTCCTCGCCTGATTTCTCTGCATCTGCCTCTGGGAAAGGTGTATGATAAGCTGCGAGGCGTTGAGAACGGCCACAACTGCAGCGATGGTCGCAGCGGGATCCATGATCGCGGTGCTGTGGCGTCCGCGCTGTCACTGATCAAAAAGTGCGCGAACTGATTTCCCGCCGGCGCTTTCAGGGAGGGAGGCAGGGCGGTAGTGACTGACGGATGACGACAGTTACCCAAAAGCACCCTCGCCACAATTTTTTACCCAGAAGCCATTGGGGGCTCGACCCAGAATTCCACTGGGCAGCGGGGACTGCGGGAACTGTGGGATAGCTGCCCACAGTGCACCGCTTCCAATGTCGACGCTTGCCCCGTTAGTGTGGACTCACAAAGTCGAATTACTGTCCTTAGTGTAGACACACACGTTCGACTTTCTAATATCGATTGCACATATTCGATTTAACTAAAATCGAACTACTCTCGTAGTGTAGACATACCCTTAGTCTTCACATATGAAGACTTTAACCTATTTTAATTCATTAGTAGTAACATGCCAGCTTTGCCTGCCAAGGTTTACCTTGGTACGTATTTGGAACAGTCTCAAGTATGTTCATTCAAGAATCATTAGAGACAGAAGGAACCCCTTGCAAGTGTCACTCTTCTCTGGGGGCTATCGGGTTTTTCTGGGTAAGGATTGCCTATTTGAATAGACGATTCAGAAAACTGTGAACCAATATTTCTGTATGTATAGACTGTTACACAAGTAGTTTTAAACCACATTTTCTCTGGCTATTAACAATTAGATGCCCTGCCCCCCTTGACCTCAAATATGAAAGGTTTAGGACAGTTGTTTTCAATCTGTGGTCCATGAACCCGTGGGGGGCCACAGACTAGATCTCAGATTTCCAAAGGGGGCCGAACCTCCATTCAAATTTTTTTTTTTTGGAGTCTGCAAATGAAAAAAGGTTGAAAATCACTGGTTTAGGGCAATAAAAACCTGTACTCATTTAGTAATTTATGGATCAAGACTGAAATGAACTAGAGACATAGCTTTACAACTGGAAGGCGGTTGTTAGCTCTTGCTGTACATCATCCATTCAATTCTTACTTTACAACTTAAGTCTATTGCCTGCTTAGTGATATTTTTACTAATTCTACTCTAAGGCAGCACATCTCCCTTTGATTTTATACTTGCTTAACACAGTATTTTAACATTCCAGAACTGAATTTTGGATTATTTTAGAAAGAAAAGCCCCGGGGGGGGGGGGGGGGAAAACTAAGCTTTTACATGGATGAACTCTTGAGAGTCAAATAAAACCAAAAGTTGTCAATATTTCCTTTGGTGAAAATCATGGACACAGTTTTCATGTACAAGACCAAGAAAAGCAGGTTGATGACAGCTAAAGTCACCGATTTACTGCTATCAAACAACATCAGAGATACACTCCCCTTCTTTGCAATCACTTACCTGCTAAGTTCTAAGGATCCCCAAATGGCAGTGGCTCAAGAATTTTAAAATAGAATAGCAGCACTAAAGTAGTATGCAAGGGTGGGAAGGGGTTGTAGGGATTAAGTACTTAGAGCCACTTCAAGTTAATTATAAATTTTAAATCAATTTAAGATTTAAAAAGAAAATTCATGATTGTGGATTTAGTATTCATACAAGTGATGTGAATGCAAACTTACCAGCACAGCTTTGACAATACATCTCAGTCCTTATGTGCAATATACTCTGCAGTTCTATATCTGAAAGGCAGGTCTCCTATTCCATAGGTTTTCATTCTCATCTCCCACAGAAAGATGATCTAGCCCAGGGGTCGGCAACCTTTCAGAAGTGGTGTGCCGAGTCTTCATTTATTCACTCTAATTTAAGGTTTCGTGTGCCAGTCATACATTGTAACGTTTTTAGAAGGTCTCTTTCTATAAGTCTATAATATATAACTAAACTATTGTTGTATGTAAAGTAAACAAGGTTTTTAAAATGTTTAAGAAGCTTCATTTAAAATTAAATTAAAATGCAGAGCCCCCCAGACCGGTGGCCAGGACCTGGGCAGTGTGAGTACCACTGAAAATCAGCTTGCGTGCCGCCTTCGGCACGCGTGCCATAGGTTGCCTACCCCTGATCTAGCCCATGGTCTGAGGTTATTTTTAAGAAGCTACCCTAAA